GTTCTGCTGTGGGTATTTTTCACCTCTCAATCTATTACAATTTCTTATCAACAACTGGGATGTAGGACAATTAAGGGGTTATTGTGAATTTCACACTTGCTTGAAGAAGCAGTAGGTTTAACTACACCTCCAGACTTAGTCATTAAGACTGATGGATTGGGGATAGGAATTGTCTCATTTCAAGCCACACCTGCCAACACCTTGCCCTGCACAAATCTTGGATCAATAACGGCTGAGATAAATAACATGTTCCCTTTTTCAGAATAGTTTATAATAACCACACTCACAAAAGGCAAGAATACAATTTGATCATCAATGAGGGCTACTTACTGCTTGTTGAATGCTGATTAATGCTAGCCACCGAATCACTTGTTTTAAGTACATCATTTTCCATCCTTACAATATTCGTGTAATGTCAGTGATGTTGTTCCTAATTTACAAGTGAAGCCTATAAGTTTGTTCCTGGAAATAGAGATGAAGATTTCACCCCACCCAGTGAGAGAACACCTGCCCGTCCACAAATCAATACTAACGCCACTTGTGGCTCTCTCAAAATCAAATCGAATTAGGATTTTATTCAGTAGCTACTTACATTATAGTTCTTGCATGCTCCAAGGGGACTGCCTTCCTTCTTCATCTCTCAAGCTCAGTTTCAGGCAGGAAGACTAACAAACAGTAACTCTCCCTAGAAGTACTTCATAAAATGTGTCCTCCAGAAAAACAAGATGGGAGATAGGCTATTGTTACAGCTGAATGTTTCTGGAGAGTAAAGTAGAGCTAGTTAACTTGCATCAGCTAAGTAGAAAAATACCATTTCTGTTTGTCTCTGTTCTTTCCTCATTGTACCTCATACTTGCTCTCTACTACTGATAGAAGTTGATCTTTGTATAGCTAAGGATGAAGATGTCAGTAAATGTGACTGTGTAATGTAGTCCTGTAAAATAAGATGAGCCTGTAAAAACCTGTGGAGCCCCGATAATCAGCGGGGCCCAATAGCGTGGCCCCATGGTCCGGCCTGCTGGAGGGAGTGGGTGGTGTGTGGAGCCTCTCCACTCCATAGACCCGGCCACCAGACAGAGCAGGGCATTGAGGGGCTGACATCACCGCCCCACAGGCCATGCAGCCAGAAGGGGGCGGGCATGCCACCAAAAGGGGGCGGGGCGTGCTACCGGAGGGGGCGGGGTGTCGAGCCCCACGTGGCGAGCTGCCTATTGAGATTGGACAGGGGGCAGCATGGAGGAGGAGCATGAATGGCCCTTTGAAACCATTCGTAGGGGAGGGGCGCAGCCTATCAGGGTATCTATAGGCTGCTTGCTATGAGGCCCCAAGAGGGAGGTTAGGGGGGAAAACAGTCCAGAGGAGACAGGGAGTCTTGAGGAGAGGAGACTAAGGGAAAAACCAGAGTTCTGAGGGGAGGAGAGGAGAGGAAGGAATAGGGGAAAGCCTGCTGGAACAGAGCAGGGCAGGGCAAGCCTCGAGAGGCCATTTGGGGCCTCCTCAAAGGGCCATTTGGGACCTAGTGGACCTCCTCTGGAGGCCATTTGGGGCCTCCCTCTAGAAAGGCCTGTGGAGAGGCGCCTCCAGGAGCAGGGCAGGCGTGTGGAGAATGGAGAGGCCTGCAGAGAAGGAGGAAGGGAAGAAAGGGAAAAGCCTTCCCCTTTGGACATGTGGAGCTTTGGAGCTTTGGAGGTCTGAGGATTGGAGGTTTGCAGACCAACAAAGGTGGAGGGGGGGTCAGGGCTGCCTATTAGAGACTTGGAGGTTTGGTGGTTGAGGCTGCCCTTGGTTCACCTCTCACTTTGCCTCCATGGATTGTCTCAGTCTCCGGAGGTCCTAAGTAGCCCTGAACAGGCTACTCAGAGAATGAATTGGAGAAAGGCAAGGCTGAGGCCTGATTCGCAAAGGAAGCATGTATCACTTACTCTTCGGAGGGTGGGGAGAGGGACATCTAATCTCACTGCGACCTGCCATATGCGGGCATGTCCACATGCATCAGAATATCTAGTTTTCATATGCTCTCTTTGAGGAATATTCCTGTCAAGAAAGGGCAATAGTTATCCATGTTTTCTAAAAAAAAAAAATATGTTGCTCCTATTTGTTGCACTTGAATTTTAAAGATCTTTAAATGTTCTTTTTTGGTAAAGAATAAAGTTACAACACATTATTTAAATTGAGTACAAATGTAACAGTATATTATTTAAGCTGAATATAAAAGTATTATTTCTTCTCTGAAATGCAAATTTTTACAGCATTTACTCCTAGTAAGGTTTTCTGGTTCTGTTTGTGTTTTGGTTGTTTTTGTTTTTCTGAAAGCGTGTGTCTCAATGACAGCTACAGTTTCTAACTTTTTACTAAAGTACGAAAATAATTCGTATGAATTTAGTCTTTTCTGCCTCAGAAGAATGGGGCAGATTTATGGATAGAGAATTATTAAGCAATGGGGTGACTTTTTTCCCCTAAAAGTTACATGAGGATTGAACTTCTATTTCTTCAACTCTTTTCTTTTTTTTTTTTCTTTTTCTTTTTTTAATTATCAAGGTACTGTACAGAGGGGTTACAATTACTTAAGTAATAAGTACATTTCTTGTCAAACTTGTTACCCCTTCCCTCATTTTTCTCTTTCTTTTCTTTTCTTAGCCAGTTCTATTCAATGCAAAGTGATGTGATAGGTCATTTGCATACATCACAGCAAAAACTGCCCTTATGGGATTGTGTCAGTTTTTTGAATATGGTTGTTGTCCAACTGGAACTTCAATAATTCCTGAACTCAGCACATCAATAGCATCCTCTTGAATATTGTAATAGGCAACCTACAATGTAAACATTCGCTTATTGCAGTGAGACATTCATGTAACGCTTTTTCGCGTTTTAAAGAAAGTCATTTGGCATAGTTTTTGTGATTATTTTTCCATTTGAATTGATTGTTACTGCCTAGGTCTTATTAGTTGCTTTCAAGTGTCAGCCTTTGCTAAACATGTCAGACATGAAAGAATGTAGATGTTCTGAAGCCTGATCCTGCTGCTGTATCAGTAATGAGTGTGCAAAAATGGCCTCCTTTGCATTTTGTCTTTGAGTTTAGAGTATGTCAGAAATAAAATACACTGTTCTGTGCATAAGAGGAATATCATTAGAAACATGATGTTTGTGTGATGTCATAGGGGATAGACATGAAAACAAACCCAACAGCCGTAGTTTCTACCTTTCTGCATAAATGTTCAAAAAATGCTCCTCTCCTTTCTCATGTTGAGAAACTTAGATGATGAGACCTAACTTTTTAAATTTCTTTCTTTTTTCTTTTGTTGGTCATGGGGCTTGAACTCTGGGCCTGGGCGGTGTCCCTGCGCTCTTCAGCTCAAGGCGAGCACTCTTGAGCCATAGTATCACTTCCAGTTTTCTGGTAGTCTATTGGAGATAAGAGTCTCACAGACTTTCCTGCCCGGGTTGGCTTTGAATCTCAATCCTCCGATCTCTGCTTCCTGAGTAGCTAGGATTACAGGTGTGAGCCACTGACACCCGGCCAAAGACCTCTAACTTTTTACAAGGTCCAGTATCTATACAGAAAACACAAGAGAATTCAAAGGAGCTGAGGGCATCACCATGCAGGATGCTGCAGATACTGATATAAACATAAAAGCAAATGATTACCTAATAATTCTATTCACTGAAGCGAAAACTCTAGTGTCAATGATGATAATCTTACATTGTTTTTGTTTCGATCCAAAGATTATACTTTTGATTTTTTTGTGATATAAAATATGACTAGCAGCTTTTGATTTTTTTGTGATATAAAATATGACTAGCAGCTTTCATTGCCAAGAAGAAAAAAACAGTTCATTTGATTTCAGTTAAATAAAATCACTTCTAGCTTGGCACCAATGGCTCATGTTTGTAATCCTAGCTGAGGATCGCAGTTTGAAACCAACCCAGGCAGAAAAGTTCCCATGAGTTTCTTATCTACAATTAACCACCCAAAAACCAGAAATGGAGCTGTGACTCAAAGTGGTAGAGCACTAGCCTTGAGTACAAAGAGCTCAGGGACAGTGCCCAGGCCTTGAGTTCAAGCAAGCCCTATTACTGGAAAAAAAAAAATCACTTCTATTTTTCTTTTAATCTGAGAAAGGAAGGTTAAATATATTCTGATCTATGGTATTACTAAAGAATTAATGTTGGTTTATTATTTTCCATTAGGCTTTTTAAGACCATTAGACACATATAGTAAATTCAAATCTTACTGAAGGCTTGGAATTATTATTTGTTCCATGTTAAACTAATAGAGTTGAATGCTTTATGTGCTTTTGTACCACTCCACATCAAAACTGTAGATTATTCTTCTCAAATGAATGAAATTTAAGTTATTTAAACTTGGACTTCTTGAATATGACCCTCTGAGGCTGTTTTTAAAACAACAGACAGATCTTTTCCTACTAGACATTACAAGTTTAATTTGTTTTGGATACAAAGCCATTTGTCTTTTTTTTCCTAAAAAAATATGCTTGTGGTGTTTATTATCCTTTGATAGTTTTTCAAATTATTTCTACTTTTCTTTACCCAAACATATTTAGAAATTGTGTTCATTTGAGATGAAATAGCTTGGGCTTTTTCCGTCTTGATAGATAGACAATTAACTATCTCCATAAAGTTTAATCTTTCTAATGTGAATCATAATAGGTGTCCAAGATCACATTTGTGGGTTTTCCCCCAAGTACTATGACATATCACATACCCCTTTCCTTATGTTACCTAACAACAGCCTGCAACTTATTTTTCTTCAGCAAACCTGAATCTGTTAGTGCTTAATATTTTTACCGGTTTGAAAAATGTGGTTTATATTGGCATCAGTGTAGTCATTTGCATTTATTGGGATAACAAGAATGCATGCCAGGAAAAGATAAACACAAAATGAAATACAGAAAATCTGTTTGCCTTCAGCAGCAACCAGGAGAAAGCTACTATAAAGATTGACAAACAGCTGACTTTAATGTGTCACTTGTTTCTTGTAGGTGAAGTGTGACCAATATTGGCCCAGCCGAGGCACAGAGACCCATGGACTGGTCCAAGTGACACTGCTAGATACGGTGGAGCTGGCCACATATTGTGTTCGAACATTTGCACTTTACAAGGTTTGCCTTTTGTCTTTGTTTTCTCTTTTCTTTCCCTGTACATTATTTAAAGAACACTCCTTTTGAGAAATCAAACCTTTTAAGCCTTCACTTAAATCTTGATCCTGTTGGAAACAGTGAAGAAGGAAATAATTCTTCCCATGATGACCCAACCATTTTTCTCCTAGTCTGGTGATTTATCAGCAGATATGAAACTTGTACTCTGAACACAAGTTTCAGCAAATGAAGAATAGATGAAGAAGAACTAGTTCTTTCTGGGGAAAAAAATAGAGAGCAGGAATGCCCCTGATAGTTAAACCTGAACAAGGGAATGCTTCACACGTAAGAATTTTGTCTTCTGGAGAAAAATGCTGGTTACTTCAGACTTGCTTTGGGTTTGTCTTCCCAAAGATCGTGTCTCCTCAAAGATACCAGGGGAAGAAGATGTTCACATAGCACCTTTTGGGGTTACCCCTTCCATCGTTCTCATCTGAGGTTAGGAACACAGAATTTGTCTCTATTCCTGTGTCACAGAATGGCTCAAGTGAGAAGAGAGAAGTGAGACAATTCCAGTTCACCGCCTGGCCTGACCATGGCGTTCCAGAGCACCCCACGCCTTTCTTAGCTTTCTTACGGAGAGTCAAAACCTGTAACCCTCCTGATGCAGGACCCATGGTTGTGCACTGCAGGTAAGAACCATCGAGAAACTCATTCTATTTATACTCAGAAGTCTTCTGAATAGAAAGAAAGCTCAATTAATTCTCTTTGGATGTCCAATGTTGATTCTCTGGGGCAGTAAATACCTTCCTAAATTACACAGGTCACTTTGGTCAAGGAGTTTTATGCTAATGTCAGGCATAAGGCCTGAGAGATAGGAGGAAGTAATGACCTATTATTTATTCCTTGATCAACATAAAGAAATATACTAATGATGGGTCTGGGAAGGTGGCTCAGTAGTAGAATGCATGCTTTGCATGCATGAGGCCCTGGATTCGATTCCTCAATACCACATAAGCAGAAAAACCACAAGTGGTGCTGTGGCTCAAGTGATAGAGTACTTGCCTTGAGCTGAAGAGCTCAGACACAGTGCCCAGGCTGAGTTCAGGCCCCACCACTGGCAAAAAAAAAAAAAGAATACACTAATGTGACCTTTTAAATTTATTTAATATATATAAACACAGAGCTGGAATGTAGAAAAATTTACTATGTTCTTAGAGACAATGTCTTCTGTTTCTCTTGAAATGTACAATTTTTAATTTTAATTTAGTTCTGTATAATATATGCTAGATGGCCACTCAAATCTTGTTACTTTTATACATTTTTAAATATTAAACTGATTTCTTCCAGTTGCTTGGAGTGTTCTCAAGAATTGTTAGTTACAAAATATTCAAGACTTCTTATTGTATAAAAGTGTAACTTCATAATGGTTCTTTATAATCCAAGCGATGCAAATATGAAAAATTACTTTTGAATGAGTAAAATCAAAGCATGGAAACTTATTTTTAAAAGACAAGAAAGAATCTATCACAAGCTACTTACAACATGAATTAGTATCATATCTCTGTTTGATACTCTATGAAATACTATAGTATAATAGAAACTCAAAATGGGACTATTTTTGCAAACAATATATGTGGGGACAATAGATCAATCAAAATAAAACAGTGCAATTCACCTGACCAATCCAGCCTACATGATGATTACTAAATAATGGTCTGGCAATTTTCAAACAATATAATTTTTCTTCCCTCTGGCAAATATGTTCTTCATAAAAATCAGTAATAACATTACCATGTGCTTCTACACAATATTTCATAATTCTATAGCATTCTCATATAATGGTTTGCTTCATTTTCTGAGCAATGGTGTTTTGATTCTAAAGGAATGTGAAAGAGAAGCTGCAGTTTTGTCCAAATAATCATAACTAACAGTGGTAAACAAGCAGCCTAATATGTTGTTATGTAGTTTCTTGCCCTTTTGACAAGGACCTTTGACAACTGGCCATCCATTTAATCCATGATTGTAAAACAATAAAAATTACTTATTAATATTAGCAAAGACTTTTGCACATGGAAGTAAATTTCATAACAGACACAAGTTGGACTAGTCTGTATACCTGTTATTTGAACATTTTGTCAGGCCTTTGTCAGTGTACTTAGGTACATGGCTTCCCTGCTTGGCACAATCTAAACTTCATGAGAAAGATTACACATACAACAAAACATTTTTTATCGTAAACCAAAAAAGGATCTCACAGAAGAATATGTTGATATCATATGCACACACATACATATCTAAAATAGGACCAAACATTACAGAAATCAAACTTAGAAATCTTCACTAAAAAACACCATTATGATATTTGCATTGCATTTGAAATACAGTATCCTTCTTCTCTCCAAATGTGTTTCCATTTCTGTAGATTAGAGATATAAGACTATCTAGTTTTGAAAAAATTTACATCCTTCTGATAAAAAGCAAGTTGGAAACATTACATGCAGCACTATGAGGAATCTAAAGAAGTTTGCCTGCAAGAAAGAAAAATAATAGGCATAGTTGTCTTATTTTGCAAATATATGTATACATTCACATGCACACACACACGCACACACACACACACACACACACACACACACACACACACACAGAGTTCTATGCAAAGTCACCTAGACTCACCTCTGAGAGATACAAGCCACTCAAGGAAAGTGAAGAAACAAAGATGAATGTGCAGTGCTAACACCTGCTGACATCTGGAAGTGCCCAGCCTGAGGCTCCAGAGAAGCTGAGCACTGAAACAAACAACAGAAGCATAGGTATATTGATGAAAGAAATTTGTTAGCAAAATAGGGAAAAGATACAGCATTAACTGAGCTTTGTGAAGTCATTTCTTCACCCTCAGGTAATTTCACGTGTGGGGCAAGAACACTTAGCCTGTTTAGGAAAGGTCAGTCAACATAATCACCCAAACCATTCTGAATCCTAGACTCAGATATATGAATGTTAAAAATCAAGAGCATTGGGCTGGGAAGGTGGCTTAGCGGTAGAGTGCTTGCCTTGCATGCATGAAGCCCTGGGTTCATTTCCTCAGTACCACATTGAAAAAAAAAAATCTGTGGCACTGTGGCTGAAGTGGTAGAGTGCTTGCCTTGAGCTGAAGAGCTGAAGGACAGCGGACAGCGCCCAGGCCCAGAGTTCAAGCCCCACAACCAACAAAAAAAAATCTAGAGCATGCTGGACATGAGTGGCTCATACCTGTGATATAATCCTACTCAGGAGGCTTGAAATTTGAGGATCGTGGTTCTAAATAAGCCAGGGCAGGAAAGCCCAGAAGACTCTTATCTCCACTAAACTACCAAACAAGCCAAGAGTGGAGCTATGGATCAAATGGCAGAGTGCTAGCCTTGAGCAACAAAACTCAGGGATAGCTCCCAGGCCCTGAATTAAACCCCAGGACTGGTATGCGTGTGCGCACATGCACACACACACACACATATATCAAGAACATAAGTTACATTAGCTGATTAATGTCACTCCAAATAGCAGTTATTTAAATGGAATCCCAGAAACCATCTGTAAGCAGTAAGAATTTATACAAGAAACTATGATAAGCCAAGTCACAAAGTGATACCAATGTCCAGGATCATGGTACAAATCATCACAAAACACTCTGGAATGTAAATACTCTATTTCATGCTTTGGTTTCTCTTATGATGTGCTAGGTGCTTTTGTTGTTGTTTTTTATACAAAGCATATGTATATATATATAGAGAGAGAGAGAGACAGAGAGAGAGAAATTCAAAATATACTCAAGCAATTTGTAAGAGAGCCACTAAGGATGGGAGAGGATTTGAGACAAGTGTGGTAGTAGTCACAAGTTCACATCCCTCCAAGGGTTCTTCTGAGTAGTAGTAAATTTACTAGGAGTGATTAGAGCTGTTAAATAAGTAGGATTTCTAACAGTCACTAGTGCAAAAGAGATATAAGAACAGGTACTGCAAACAGCACAGATAAGAACTTGGAAGTTCAAGGAAAAAGAAGTCTCCCAAATTCATGAATGAAGGGTCTCCTACTTCTTGTGGTTCAGCTAGAGACATCCCAGCCTTGGCTGTCAGTTCACCTAGAGCACACCCTCCATATTGAGAGTACAAACTGACTGACTAATTTTCCTAGACTCTTCTTACTTGTCTTATAAAATAAGAAAGACTATAGTGGCAAGATTTTTGTGCACTCAAATGTGATTTGAAATGATGTACATAAAGCACTGAAGTAAATTTTTGATATGTAGAAGCATGCAATGTTAAATTATTAGCACAGTACCTAATGAGTGAATTTTAAGAGGTATCTACTATATATACATATATATTTGAACACATACATATACTTATATAGAATATATGTGTTTATGTTTATGTAGTATAAACATAAATAAAATGTAAACATTATATATAATATAACTAACACAAATATAAACATATATGTGCATATATTTGCACTTATATTTATATATTTATATATCTATATTTAAAATGCTAGAGAAATTCAATGTGCATATCATCTATAAGAACTCATTCACCATCTTATTAAGTAACTACATGTTTTTAGATATCCAAATAGTTAATTGGATTTTTTAAACCTATTTTCCACCACGGTATTTCATCAGATTTTTCCCAGTAGCAGAGACCATCCTAATGCTGTGAATTAGAAATAATTATTTATAAAGCTTGTTTTTATAAGAATCTAAATAGCCATTAAACTTAAAATAATGCTATAATAATACATATCTAGAACTTAGGGTTGTTTGTCTCTTTGTTGGTGTGAGTCCTGGCGCTTGAAATCTGGGCTCAGGTGCTGCTCCTGAGCTTTTTTGCTCCAGGCTGGCACTCTGTCACTTGAGCCACATTCCACTCCTGGCTTTTTGGGTGCTTAATTGAAAATAAAAGTCTCAGGGATTTTCTGCACCATCTAGCTTCAAGCCATGATTCTCAAATCACAGCCTTCTAAGTAGGTAGGATTATAGGTGTGAGCCATTGGTGCTGACCAAACTCTGTGGTTCTTGGTGTCCTCAAGGTAGTCTTAGTTTAGTAGTTTCATATCCAGGTGCAATCTAGTCTAACTTCAGATGACTTGATTGAGCAAATGGTTATGACTTTCCATTACTTACGTTTTTAATTTCATGTATAAAAATGGATTTTGAAAGAGCCTGAGGAGGAAACTTTCAATCTATTATGGTTATAATTTCTTAGAGGTCATACTTTTCATTTTCAGACTTTCTTATTGAAAAAGCAGTTGTATTCTTGTTATCCTTTTTGTTCTAATCTTAGCATTTATTTAAAAATTGTTAGTCTCATTGTAAACCATATATTCTATAAAGTCTATATTCTAGTACCAAGAGAATATGATGACTAATTGTCTCTAAGTTATTTGTTTCTCTTTAGAAATGAATAAAACTGAGATAAGACTATAATTTCATTGCATCAATTCTTGGCCTAACATTCTTGAGGGATTTTTTATACCAATGGAACCCTTTATTTTCTCAAAAGACATGTATTCTGGTGTGAATAAGTATGGATGGGAATATGCAGCATGAGCTATAAATCTGTCTTCTAAATGAAGTTTTGCCAAGAAGACTAGATTTCCTGAAAACCACTTAAATCATTTAGATTCTAGAATGAAACCAGTTCTCAAAACT